ATAAAAGAATAAAATAATTCCTGAATGTCCAGAAGAGAGCAGACAATATCAAAACATATTAAAAAAAACAGGACAGGATAGCTGCAGAAAGCATCCAAAATAAAACAGCAGATGACCTGGTAGGAGAAAAGGCACTGGTACTACCTGACAGGGAATTCAAAATGCTAATATTCAGGGCTCTCCAAGAGAAGAAGGAGAACGCAGACAAAAATAAGAAAAAATAGACAAAATCATAGAAAAGACAGACAAAATGTAAGAATTCAAGATAATAACACAGGAACAAAATGTCAAAATAAACGACTAGAAATCATACAAAAACATCAATTAGAAATCCAAAAGATAAACAACAAGATTTCAGAAATGGACAGTGCCATAGAATGTTTTAGGAGCAAATTTGAAATAATGAAAGACAGGATCAGCGAAATTGAAGACAAATCCCTGGATTCCACTTTGAGGAAAAATTACAGAAAAGAATGAGGAAAAGTGAGAAACCCGGAGAATGATGTGGGATAAAATCAAAAGCAAAAATTTATGTGTGATTGAAGTTCCAGAACAGGGAGAGAAAATGAAAAACACAGAGAGGATCACTGAAGATTTGCTGATAGAAGACTTCCTTAATATCATGAAAGATAAAAGCTGACCATCCAAGAAGCTCCACAAACCGTATATAGGATAACAGACAATACTCATGGATAGATAGACTCAATATTGTCAAAATGTTGATTCTACCCAAAGCAATCTACAAATACAATGCCATTCTGATGCAAATACCAATAGCATTCTTTAAAGAGATGGAAAAACTAATCATTAACTTTATATGAAAAGGGAAGAGGCCCCGGATAAGTAAAGCACTATTGAAGAAGAAAGTAGAAGGACTCACACCAAAAACTATAAAGATCATAGAAGAAAAAATAGGATCAATGCCAGAGGCCCTAATACACGGCACTAACAGGATACAAACCATAATTAACAATACACAAACACCAGAATATGAGCTAGATAACTAGGATCTTCTAAAAATTAAACACGCTCATCAAAAGTCTTCATCAAATAGTAAAAAGAGAACCTACAGACTGAGAAAAAAAATTTGGCTATAACAAATCCAGCAAAGGTCTGATCTCTAAAATGTACAGGAAAATCCAACACCTCTACAACAAAAAGACAAATAATCCAATTAAAAAATGGGCAAAGGAAATGAACAGACACTTCACCAGAGAAGACATTCAAATGGCCAACAGACACATGAGGAAATGCTCCAATCACTAGCCATTAGAGAAATGCAAATCAAAACCACGAGATACTATCTCATCCTGACATTACTGGCATGAATCAAAAAAAAAAAAACAGAAAATAACAGCTGTTGGATGCAGGGAGATTGGAACTCTTATGCACTGCTGGTGGGAATGCAAAATGGTACAACCATTTTGGAAAACGATATGGCGCTTCCTTAGAAAGCTAGAAATAGAAATACCATATGATCCAGCAATCCCACTCCTAGGAGTATATCCTAGAGAAAGAAGATCTGTCACATAAATAGACATATGCACACCTATGTCCATTGCAGCATTATTCACAATAGCAAAAAGATGGAAACAACCTACATGCAGATGAATGGATAAACAAACTATGGTACATACACACAATGCAATAGTACGCAAGGATAAAGAACAATGATGAATCTGCAAAACATCTCACAATATGGATGAATCTGGAGGGCATTATACTGAGTAAAATAAGTCAATCACAAAAGGACAAATATTGTATGAGACCACTCATGAAAAGGTTTACACACAAAAAGAAACAATCTTTGATGTTTATGAGGGAGGGGAGGAGTGGTGAGGGAAAAACACTAGATAGACAATAGATCAGTGGTAACTATGGTGAAGGGTAAGACGGTATACAGTGCTAGGGAAGTCAGCACATCTTGACCAAGGCAAGGTCATGGAAGCTCCATAGACACATCCAGACTCCCTGAGAGATGGAATTACTGGGCTGAGGGCTGGGGACCATGGTTTTGGGGAATATCTAGCTCAACTGGCATAACATAGTTTATAAAGAAAATGTTCTACATCCTACTTTGGTGAGTAGTGTCTGGAGTCTTAAAAGCTTGAGAGTGGCTATTTAATATATTCCACCGGTCTCACCCCATCTGGAACAAGAGAGAATGAAGAAAACCAAAGACACAAGGGAAAGATTAGTCCAAAGGACTAATGGACCACAATTACCACAGCCTCCACCAGACTGAGTCCAGCACAACTAGACGGTGCCTGGCTACCACCACCGACTGCTCTGGCACAAATCATAATAGAGGGTACCTGAGAGAGCTGGCGAAAAATTTAGAACAAAATTCAAATTCCTACCACCCCCCGTCCCCCCACCCCGCTACCCCAGAAAAAAGACCAGCCTTGCTGGTCTGACAGAGACTGGAGAAACCATGAGAGTATGACCTCTGGACACCCTTTTAACTCAATACTGAAGTCACTCCTGAGGTTCACCCTTCAGCCAAAGATTAGACAGGCCCATAAAACAAAATGAGACTATATGGGCACAGCAGCCCAGGAGCAAGGACGAGAAGACAGGAGGTGACAGGAAAGCTGGTAATGGGGAACCCAAGGTTGAGAAGGGAAGAGTGTTGACATGTGGGGTTGGCAACCAATGTCACAAAACAATATGTGTATTGTTTAATGAGAAACTAATTTGCTCTGTAAACGTTCATCTAAAGTACAATAAAAAAAAATGAAATCAAACGATGTATTGCATTGGACAAATCTGCAACAAAAGACCTCTTTAAAGTGTTAAAAAGCAAAGATGTCACTTTAAGGACTAAGGTACGCCTGACCCAAGCCGTGGTATTTTCAGCCACCTCATATGCATGCGAAAGCTGGACAGTGAATAAGGAAGACCAAAGAAGAATTGACGGCTTTGAATTACAATGTTGACAAAGAATACTGAATATACCATAGACTGCTGGAAGAACAAACAAACCTGTCTTTGAAGAAGTACAGCCAGAATGCTCCTTGGAAGCAAGAATGAAAACACTTCATCTCACATACTTTGGACATGTTATTAGGAGGGTCCAGTACCTGGAGAAGAACATTACGCTTGGTAACGTAGAAGGTCAGCAAAAAAGAGGAAGACCCTCAATGAGATGGACTGACACAGTGGCTGCCACAATGGGCTCAAGCATAACAATGATTATGAGGATGGCGCACGACTGGGCAGTGTTTCGTTCTTTTGTATACCTGGTCGCTATGAGTTGTCACCAACTCTACGGCACCTAACAATAACAACAACAAAATATACATATATATATATATATAGTCGAGCAGAAGAGTCCTCTATATAAAATAATATTATAGTTTATTGAGAGTTATTGAGGAAATAGCACTCCCAATTTGGCAAAGGTTTGGGGGTAGCTTTTATAGTAAAATATGAGGAACTCATAGTGGAGTTTTCTGATTCGTTGACATATATGTCAGAATACATTATTCTTATAAGAAAACAGTATGTGCTTAAACATTTAAAGAATAGAATAGAAATTTTGTTAAGACAATTACAGGGTCAGTGAGACATGATTGTAAGACCTTTGGAGCCATAGAAACAGGATGTGTTCATTAATTTTCTATTGTTTTCTGAAAGAATAGATTCCAAGGGTTTCGGTGAGCCTAATCACCTAAATACAAGTATGTGAAGCTAGACAAGCTGTTTCTAAAGGTTAGTTACAGTTCACAGGATATTCATTTTTTTATTAGTCATATACATAAGTTACAAGGGAATTACAAGACATTAGTTTTGTAAAGTTTGTTATCTGTATTTATCATATATTCCCTTGGAAACATTCTGCTGAGTGTAACAAAGGGATGAACTTTCCATAATGTACATAGGCAAAATGCCTAAGCAGGAGTTATGTATCTAGAAGAGAAGTAGAACACCAAAATGGTTTCTGAATTGAACTAAGCTGTTGGCCGTTTTGGTTATGTTAAGTGCCTCTACTTAGATTTAAAATGCTCTTGTTAAATGCTTAACACACACACACCATGGAACTGGGCAAAAGGAAGACATGCTTTGTCATTATTATTACTTGTTGGAGCCAAAAAAGGAAGCTTTGGTTCAAATACTGAGAAATTATTTTGAAGGCAGTATTTTTTGCCGAAGAACTTGAATGAAAGACAAGCAAAATCATGGACACGCAGGACCAGCTCCAGGGGCATCCGAGGTTTTAACTGTAACAGAAGGTCTATCTGTTCTCTCAGTGGGTTTATTTCTTTAACCTAATCTAATCTGGTGGCTTAGTGGTTAAGAGCTACCGCTGCTACCTAAAAAGTTGGCAGTTCAATCCACCAGGGGCCCTTAGAAACTCTATAGGGGAGTTCTACTCTGTCCTATAGGGTCGTTATGAATCGGAATCGACTCTCGACGGCAACGGGTTTGGGTTTTTTTGGAACCTGGTACTGTACAGTTGATTCTGGCTCATAGCGACCCTATAGGACAGAGTACAACAATCCCATAGGGGTTCCAAGGCTGTAGTTTTTATGGGGAGCCCTGGTGGCCCAGTGGTTAAGCGCCCCAGCAACCACTCTGTGGGAGAAAGATCTGGCGGTCTGTTTCAGCAAAAATTACAGCCTTGGAAACCCAATGGGGCAGTTCTGCTCTGTCCTATAGGGTCACTATGAGTGGGAATCGACTTCACAGCAATAAGTTACTCTTTAGTGAAGCTGACTGCCACGTCATTCTCCCGTAGAGCAGCTGGTGGATTCTAACCCTTGAGTTTAACCGCCCACCTTTCAGCAGCCGGGCGCTTGGCCACCGCGCCACCAGAATTCCTTTAGTCACAGCGAAATGTTCCAAGGCAAGTGTTGGAGCATATTCTTTCGCGTGTCTTTGGTGCTTAACTTGTGCTTGACACATAGTGGTGACCTCCAATACAGTTAGTTCAATTTGAATGAAACGGTTAAGTCACGCAACGAGCTGATAAATGCAAACTCCCTAATAAATGCAGACAAAGGGGCGGGGAAGCCGAGGCGCTGAGTATTCTGGGGACTGTAGTTCCGTGGCCACAGCTGCGCACGCGAATTGACCTGCTTGGCGACCCGGCCCGGCAGCGCCGGCGCCATTGTTGGAAGTGTTCCCGCCCTGCTCTGCGAGTGCCCTCAGTTGTCCTCTGTTTGGCCGCCAGGTACTGGTTGCTCCCGGCGCCAGGCTCCGGTTCCCAGCTGCCCCTCCCTCTGCACTTGGCTCTGGGCGGTGTCCGGGGCGTGGCTATTCTGCTCCAGAACCCCTGTCCCTGAGCTGACCCGCCCACCCCTGAGAGGTGTTTGGGTCTGGGCTGCCTACCTGGATGTGTGGGCCCTTTCTCCTCCTAGCCTCTCTCTTTGGGCTGGCGGGCTGACGGCCTCTTGCTCTTGCGGTCTCCTTGCCAGGGTCTGGTTGCAGGAACCTCCTCCCCGGAAGGCCTGGCGGGCTTCGTGGCGCTGGGGTTGGGGAGCGTCGGCCGCAGGGCCTGGACTGGGGATCCGCGAGGGCCAGTCGTCCCCTCTGACTGATCTTTCCCCTCTTCTCAGTCCCCCACCTTTGGTGAAGTGAGGAGGGGAAACAGTGGGGAGAGAAGGGCAGTTAGGAAAAAGAGGGCGAGGCTTAGGGGGGATGGTAGGGGGTGCAATCTCCACCCGTACTTCTTATCTGTCAGGGATGGAACTGGATTTCACATCTGCTAACCTGTGCTACCTACCAGGTGGATGTCCTTTCTCTGGCCTCAGACTTAACCATGCAGCTTTTCCTTGGCTCATTTTATAGCATTTCAAATAATCACTTTTAAATCACTTCTCTCTGGATCCGACATAACAATAGTATTAGTGTATTAATTGGGAAATGGTGAACTGGTCCATGGCGCTGAAGTTCACGGAAAGAACATGGTCCTTCATTATTGGGAATAACTACACTGGCTTGGGAACCACAGCAAGTGAAGTTTCCTTGTAAAGCCCTGATGTTTCTACAATTCTTGGGAAGGTAGGGCTTGGGTGAAATCAAAACATCCAGAAGAAATATCTAGGGAATTAATGCTCTGGAGAAATAATTGACCTGAATATTTTCTGTATAATGGCAGAGGAGAAAGTAGGAAAGTATAATGTGGTTAACTGAGGTTCAGTGTGTTCACGTGACTTGCCTGTAGACAAATTTATACAATAGCCAAACCAGATTGGAATGCGGGTGTTAAGAGCCAATTTGCGATTGTATTGCTATAGCAAGTTGATTGATTGATTGATAGACAGGCAGACATATTTAGGTACTTCTTATCGAGTAGAAAACTAAAAACATCACAGTCCTAAAGCCTCAGAGGTGTCAGCAGTATTTTGACTTATGCATTTGCAGTCTTTTTTGTTTTTTAATTCTGTGCATTATATTTTTACACAGTTGAGATCAAGGCAAGTATATTGAATTTTAAATAACATTGTTCTGATTTATAAAATAAAGATGTTTATTGCACATTTTGATTATTAAGCATAGTTGACTAGCATTATCTATATGGCCTATTGCCAAGGAAGAGTTTATTAATCTTTGCCAACTTAAAAAGAAATGATGACTCAGGGCATTCTGAATGAATTTTGAAGATACAAAAAACTTTTACCCCAGTTCTTTGGAAATTATAGTATTGCTCTGTGTAAGCCTGCTTTTGTGTTTGTTATTTCTCATAGCCTGTTTCTTTTTCCCAACCTTGTAAAACTGGACTCCTTTTTCTTAATTGTAAATTAGGTGTAAGTTCGAAGAGCAAATTAGTTTCTCATTTCTCACAGTTAATACACAAATTGTTTTGTGACGTTGGTTGCCAATCCTGCGATGTGTCAACACTTTCCACTTCTCCACCCCAGGTTCCCTGTTTCCATTCATCCAGTTTTCCTGTCCCTTCCTGCCTTCAAGTCTTTGTTTTTGGGCTGATATACAAATTAGTCTCGTATACGTGATTGAACTATGGAGCACCTCCCTTCTGTGTATTATTGTTGGCCCTATAGACCTGTCTAATCTTTGGCTGAAGGGTGCACCTCAGGAGTGACTTCAGTACTAAGTTAAAAGGGTGTCTGGGGGCCATACTCTTGGGGTTTCTCCAGTTTCTGTGAGACCAGCAAGCATGGTCTTTGTGTGAGTTTGAATTTTGTTCTACATTTTTCTCCCACTTTGTCAGGGACCCTCTATTGTGATCCCTGCCATAGCAGTCAGTGCTGGTAACCATGCCCCATCTAATTGTTCTGGGCTCAGTTGGGTGGAGGTTGTGGTAGTTGTGGTCCATTAGTCTTTTGGACTAATCTTCCCTTGTATTTTTGGTCTTCTTCATTCTCCTTTGTTCCAGCCTAGATGGGACTAGTAGATGTATCTTAGATGGATGCTTTTGCAGGCTTTCAAAACCCCAATCACTACTCACCACAGTCAGATGCAAGACATTTCCTTTATAGACTGTTTATGCCAATTGAGCTAGATGTCCCCCAACACCATGGTGCCAAGCCCTCAGCCCTGTAGCTCAGTCTCTCGGGGCATTTGGATGTGTCTGTGTAGCTTCTATGACTTTGCCCTGGTCGATTTGTGCTAACTTCCCCAGTATTGTGTACTGTCCTACCTTTCACCAAAGCTACCACTTATTTACTATCTAGTTAGTGTTTTTACCTCCCCATTACTCCCCTCCCTCATAACAGTCAAAGATTGTTTCTTTTTGTGTAAACCCTTTCACGAGTTTTTATAATAGTGGTCTCATACAGTATTTGTCCTTTTGTGATTGACTTATTTCGTTCAGCATAATGCCCTCCAGATTTATCCATGTTGTGAGATGTTTGCAGATTCACCATTGTTCTGTATCATTGCATAATACTGCATTGTGTGTATGTACCATAGTTTTGTTTGTCCATTCATCTGTTGATGGGCATCTAGGTTGTTTCCATCTTTTTGCTATTGTGAACAATGCTGCAGTGAACATTGGGGCACATATGTCTATTTATGTGGTGGCTCTTCTTTCTCTAGGATGTATTCCTAGGAGTGGGATTGCTGGATCATATGGTATTTCTATTTCTAGCTTTCTAAGGAAGTGCCATATCGTTTTCCAAAATGGTGGTACCATTTTGCATTCCCACCAGCAGTGCGTAAGAGTTCCAGTCTCCTTGCAGTCTGTCCAACATTTATTTTCTGTTTTTTTGATTCATGCTAGTAATATTGGGGTGAGATGGTATCTCATTGTAGTTTTGATTTGCATTTCTCTAAGGGCTAGTGTTCGCAAGCATTACTTCATGGGTCTGGTAGCCGCCTGAATGTCTTCTTTGGTGAAGTGTCTGTTCATATTCTTTACCCGTTTTTTTAATTGGATTGTCTTTTTATTGTAGAGGTGTTCGATCTTCCTATAGATATTAGAGATTAGACCTTTGTCGTATATGTCATAGCCAAAAATTTTTTCCCGGTCTATAGGTTCTCTTTTTACTCTTTTGGTGAAGTTTTTTCATGAGCATAAGTGTTTAATTTTTAGTAGATCCCATTTATCTAGATATCTTCTGGTGTTTGTGTATTGTTACTTATGGTTTGTATACTCTTTATGTTGTATATTAAGGTACCTAGTATTGACCCTATTGTTTCTTCCATGATCTTTTTAGTTTTTGGTTTTATATTTAGGTCTTCGATCCATTTTGAATTAGTGTTTGTGTATGGTGTGAGGTATGGGTCCTGTTTCCTTTTTTTACAGATAGACATCCAGTTTTGCCAGCACCATTTGTTAAAAAGACTGTCTTTTCCCCACTTAATGGACTTTGGGCCTTTGTTAAAGATCAGGTGACCTCAGGTGGATGAATTTACATCTGAGTGCTCAATTCTGTTCCATTTGTCAAGGTGTCTGTTGTTATACTAGTACCAGGCTGTTTTGACTACCTTGGCTGTATAGTAGGTTCTGAGGCCAGGTAATGCGAAGCCTCCTACTTTGTTCTTCTTTTTCAGTAATGCTTTACTTATCTGCGGCCTCTTTGCTTTCCACATAAAGTTAATGATTAGTTTTTCTATCTCATTAAAGAATGCTGTTGGTATTCCGGTTGGGATTGCACTGTATTTGTAGATGGCTTTGGGTAGAATTGACATTTTCACAATGTCATGTCTGCCTATCCATGACCATGGTGTGTTTTTCCATTTATGTGGGCCACTTTTGATTTCTTGTCATAGCGTTTTGTAGTTTTCCTTGACTAAGTCTTTTACATCCCTGGTGAGATTTATTCCTAAGTATTTTTTCTTTTTAGGGGCTATTATAAATGGTATTGTTTTCCTGATTTCCTTTTCGAAGTTCTCTCTTGATGTATAGGAATCCATCTGATTCTTGTGTGTTTATCTTTTGTGCTGCTATTCTGCTGAATCTTTCTATCCTCTACTAGTTCCAGTAGATTTTGGGTGAGTCTTTAGGGTTCTCTATGTGTAGTATTATATCATCCACAAATAGGGATAGTTTTACTTCCTCCTTACCAATTTGGATGCCCTTTCTTTTTCTTGTCTTATTGCTCTAGCTAGGACTTCTAGCACAATGTTAAATAGGAGTGGTGATAAAGGGCATCCTTGTCTTATTCCCATTCTCAGGGGGAATGTTTTCAGCCTTTCTCTGTTAAGAATAATGTTGGCTGTTTATTTTGTATAGTAGCTGTCATGGATTGAATTATGTCCCTCAAAAAATGTGTATATCAGTTTGGCTGGGCCATGATTCCTGGTACTGTGTGATTTTCCTATATGTTGTAAATCCTGCCTCTATGATGTTAATGAGGGAGGATTGGTGGCAGTTGTGTTAGTAAGGCAAGACTGGATCTACAAGACTGGATTGTGTCCTGAGGCAATCTCTTGATATATAAAAGAC